AAGGGGGTACTTTTAAGATTGGGCAAGTAAAAATGCCCTTTTTCCACTTCAACCAAAAAAAAATTGCCAATTGTCAAAGGATAATGCTGTTGGTGTACACACAGCCTTACACTCCCCTCACATGAAGGGGGATCCACGAATATTTTATTACATGTGGCCTCCCTCCATATGAGGGGGTGTAAGCCTGTGTGTACTCTATTGTGTACACACAGCACAACACATCTTCAAAATGACATTTTGTTGAGTAAAAGACAAAAATATCCTTAAATAGTTTATACAATTACAAAGTTAGAATTTTATTTAAAAAGATAAAAATACCCTTAAGTTATAAATTAAAAAACCAAAAACTTTTCACTTTATATTTAATTATTTATTTTAAACACTTACTCAAATAAAAAAAATTAATATTTAATTTACTTTCTTGTTTAAATATTATATTAATTAATTATCTTAATCGGTTATGTATATTATTTATTTAATATTTAATTAATCTATTTAATTATTTATTTAATCACTTGTTTAAATAAAAAAGGTTAATGTTTACTTTGATTTCTCATTTAAATATTTCATTAACTAATTATCTTAATTGATATATATATATTTAATTAATTATTCAAATATTTATTTAAAACACTTACTCAAATAAAAAAAATTTATATTTAATTTGGTTTCTCTTTTAAATAATTCATTAATTAATTATCTTAATTGATCTATGTTTAATTATTTATTTTAAACACTTACTCAAATAAAACATTAATATTTAATTTGGTTTCTCGTTTAAATATTTCTTTATTAATTACTTTAATTGGTTGTGTATATTTTTCATTTAATATTTAATTAGTTTATCTATTTATTTATTTATTCAATGACTTATTAAAATAAAAAATTAATATTTATTTTAATATCTTATTTAAATATTTCATTAATTAATTATCTTAAATAATTATGTATATTCTTTATTTAATATTTAATTACTTTGTTTATTTATTTATTTAATCAATTAATTAAATAAAAATTAATTTTTAATTTAATTTCTTATTTAGATATTTCAGTAATTAATTATCTTAATTGGTTATATATATTATTAGTAATTAATATTTAATTACTTTATTTTAATTACTTATTTAAATAAAAACATTATACCATAATGTACAAGTGGCATAACATTATTGGAGAGTTAAAAAATAGTTTTTCCTATCCTCCACTCATGGAATTCCACATGTACATTATGAATATCCTTATGAATTAGTACATGTAGAATTATCCAATATTTAATTTGATTTCTCGGTTAAATATTTTTGTATTAATTACCTTAATTGGTTATGTATATTTAATTACTTTATTTGATTATTTATTTTAAACACTTACTCAAATAAAAAGTTAATATTTAATTTAATTTCTTCTTTAAATATTTCATTAATTAATTATCTTAATTTTTGTTATGTATATTGTTTATTTAACATTTCATTACTTTATTTAATTATTTATTTAATCACTTATTCGAATAGAAAATTAATATTTAATTTAATTTATTCTTTAAATATCTCATTAATTAATTATCTTAATTGGTTATGTATATTATTTATTTAATATTTAATTAGAACATAAATCACACAATGTATGAGAATATCTAATAGAGATGAGAGTCGAATTTTAGGCACGATCACATTTTCAATATATCGAACATTATTCAAGAATGTCGAAACTATATTTCCTCTAATAAATGAAGTCGAGTGGGAAGTTCTCGATTATAGTGTGCTACTCTCTACCCAACGGATGTGCAATATCCATTTACATCGTATGTACTCTCTATTTATAGTATATTATTGATTTCCTCAATTTTCTCTATTTATAGTGTGTTATTGATTATATGAAAATTGACCCGACAAATATATAATATCTACTTAAATTGCATGTACTCTCTATTTATAGTATGTTACCGATTTTCTCTATTTTCTTTATTTATAGTGTGTTATATATGTAATTAAGAGCAATTAGTTATTTATTATACAATTACATAAAAACTAAAGTATTACAAACGTTTTTAAAAAATGCTTACATAAAACAACGCTTACATTTTAATGTGTGTTTGGTTTATCAGCTCCATGCCATGTCCGATGCTAAAAATTCAATGTACTTTAATTAATGTTATCAATGGGTTGGATTTTGATCCGAATCCGATGAAATTAATGGAAGATGGATTTAGGATCTCAATCAGATAACCCAATTGAGATTCACATTTGATAACTCGTTAACTAAATGAATCAATAGATTGGATTTTAATCCAAATCTGATCTGAATTCGATAAAATTAATGGGAGATGGATTTAGGGTCTTAATCTGATAACTCAATCGAGATTTGAATCTGATAATCCGTTAACTAGATGAATCAAATATGGATACAGGCCAATCCGATCCGATATCACTAAAACATTCCAAGAAGAGTATCCTTTAAAAAGGAGTTAAAGATGCATCACTTAGACAAAAAAAAAAAAAAAAAAAAATTGATTTTGGCCTTCTAATATAATAAGCGAGCCCATCAAAATAGTTCAAATATTTTTAAAATAAATAAATAATTAAATCTTGTTGAGGCTATGATTTTCAATGAAAAAATAAATAAAATCTTTATTTTTTTTCTAAATTTTTCAATTTCAGATCGGATTATCTCATCAGATATGACTTTGACCCTCCTCCTCGATCAACGGTGTCAGCTCAACGAGCACTTCAAGTTGACATATTAACATTTCACCGAGTTAATGACCATGCATCGAGATTTCGAAATGACATATAATATAAATCACAAATGAATAATATGTACCCTAGGATCATCGAGGAAAGCTGATAACTGTCAGCTTTGTCCCTATGGATAGTTGTTAAATGTGTCAATGTCATTAACAACCTCCAAATGAAAGAAGTTGATCGACATTTTCTTGTGATGACATCTCAGTATGCTCTCTAGTATAAACATCATCATCAACTTCAACTTGTCAGACATATCGTCGAATTCATTGAATGCGTCTCCTAACTATACCAAAGTTACTGTCATAAGCAGGATTGGCGTAATAGGTATGCGTGCTCCTCATTCAACAAATCTAGGACTAATGCGAAACTGGCAAAGTTATAGTTCAACGTAATTTTGTCGGGAATCTGTCTCATGGTGGCATCCGAATGGTAATCCATCATGTAAAATTTAAAATGTTTGGACCTTATGTAAGAGACAATGGATAAAGTATAATATTTGAAAATTAAATTGTTTATTTACTCATTTAAATTGTTTATTGAATATAATTGTTACTTAATTATTTAAATTATTTATTTACTTATTTAAATTGTTTATTGAATATTTAATTGTTAATTATTTATTTAAATTGTTCATTTTAATTATTTATTCAATATTTAAACGTATGTTTAAATGATTTATTTTAATTGTTTAGTTGTTTATTTAATATTTATTTTAGTTGTTAATTGAATGTTTAATTTTTTATTTTAAATGTTAATTATTTATTTCAATTGTTTATTTAATATTTAATTACTTATTTTTATTATTTATATTTACGGTTCATTTAAATTATTTATTTAATACTTAAATGTTAATTATTTATTTCAATTGTTTATTTAAATTGTTTATTTAATATTTAATTACTTTTAAATTACTTGTTTCTTATTTTTATATTTATTGTTCATTTAAATTATTTATTTAATACTTAAATGTTAATTATTTATTTCAATTGTTTGTTTGAATTGTTTATTTAATATTTAATTACTTATTTAAACTTTTATTATTATTTATAGTTATTTGTTATTTATGTTAATTAATTATTTTTATTGCTTAATTAATATTTAAGTTACTTGTTTATTGAATTTATTTCAATTAATTATTTAAATTTTTTATTAATATTTATTTAATTTATTTCAATTAGTTATTTATTATTTATTTAAATAAACAATATACATAAATAATTAACATAATTCATGAAATATTTAAATAAAAAAATAAAGTATAAAATAAATAATTATATGTTAAACAAATAATATACATAAGCAATTAAAGTAATTACTTAAATATTTAAATAAACAATTAAATTAAATATTGATTTATTAAATATTTAATTTAATTTTTTATTTAAATATCTCATTAATTATTTTAATTGGTTATGTATATTGTTTGTTTACTATTTAATTACTTATTTTAGTTGTTTATTTCATATTTATTTACTTCATTTAATTATTTAAATTAATTTCTCATTTATTTTAATTGTTTATTGAATATTAAATTTTTTATTATATTTATTATATTATTTATATTTTAAATAAATTGAAGTAAAACAATCAATTATCTTACTTAAATAAACAATTTACATAATTCATCAAATATTTATAAACAATTAAATTCAATATTAAAAAAACAAAAAAAGGCTAGCACGTTGGGCTAAAAATCTAGATGGCCTAGATCGCCTGGACCAGATGGCCCTGACGTCTAGGCCGTCTAGGTTGCCTAGATCTAGACAGCGACGTCATTGCCGTCTGATTCGTTTGAAAACTCCATTTTCGACGAGTTCCATCCCATTTTTTCACTTTTCTTTACCAATTCAACCTCAAATTCGACTTTTCCTTCTATTTTAACTATAGAAATTTGTATTAAACTCATAATTTAACATATTCAAATCTTAAATATTCAAAATTTTATGTATTAAACTTAAATATTCAAATTCCCCCATGTGCTAGACCTCAATGATGAGTAAATTTCAAAGAAACAAATCTAATCTTTGAGAAATGGTGATCTCCGGCAATGCTCTAAGTGGGTCCGGTCTGAGCGGTCTGTAGGTGACGTCGGTGATGAGATTTTTTTTCTTTTCCTTAGTTTTCTATTTCTTTCCTCTACCCTTCTCTTTATTTGGGGGTATTTTCGACCCTTTGATATTGTTTACATTTTCATTTTTTTAATGAGAATTTTTCAATCAACAGCCATTTTGAAAAATGGCCAAGTCTGGCAGTCATCTGCCACCATTTCTTCATTGGATAATTCTATGGGTACAGGAAAGTTGGATAGAATACTTACAGGATTTCAAATTTGCACCTGCACACATATCCCACATATAATACGTCTTTTTATTTCCTTCGATTTTCAGCCCAAAATCGGACCGGCCATTTGCCACCATAAAATGAACCCGTATCGTTTTCCCCCCAAATCATTTCCTTTTATCCCTCAAAACCAGAAAGCAAGACGCTCTTCCCGTCGCTCTTCCCGCATCTCTTCATCTTTGAATTTCTAGGCCCACGACAGGGAAATCAAGCACGGGCTCATCTATTCTAGAACATCCTTCTACCCAAGAACGACGAAGGCAACTGAAACCGAAGGTGGAAATAGATGATGGACAAAGGTATTTGCTTCTTTGTCTTAAATGTGTTAGCTCGTACATTGGTTGACCAATTATTAGATTATGAGCAATAGCATTTTCCTTCTTGGATAGAGCCTTCATTTCTTGCTTGTGTGCCCTTTTTTTAACACTAGAGGAGTATATGATCTGCAAGGGTAGTGAAAGGGGATCTTAGAATTAGTTTGGTATTAGCTAGCATGTGGCTCCCTGAACATTGGATTAATTATGGACTCAGTAATTATGTATTCTGTTTACGAGCAACAAATGTTACTGCAGTATCAAAATCTGGAAGAAACCAAGATTACAGTACATCCGGACCCAAGTGGTGAAAAGTTATTAATGATATTTTGTCCGTCTATACCTGTTATACACTAGCACATAGATTTTCTTCTTGATAGTCTGACTTTCTTCTTGGATCTAGATTACTTAAATACTGTCCTCATTCGTATGTTCAATTATCATTTGGATGAGTGCGTTGACTTTCTTCTTGGATCCAGATTACTTAAATACTGTCCTCATTCGTATGTTCAATTATCATTTGGATGAGTGCATTTTTGGCATTGTGGATATGCTTTACTCAGAGTTGAAATGATTATGTGAACATAACAGTGATTGGAGGAGTTATTTTATGAATTTGGCTGAGCTATTTTGGCTGAGCTATTATTTATTTATTTATTTTTTGGCTGAGCTATGTTCAATTATCATTTGGTTGAGCTATTTTTTTTTTTTTGGTGCTGAGCTATGTTCAATTATCATTTGGCTAAGCTATTTTTTTTTGGTGCCATTAAATTTTTCTCGTCGCAAGCATGTTAATACTGTTATTGGTAAAGTTGTGATTTTAGTTACATGTGATTTACAACTTCTAATAAAATCACAGCATTTATTGCAGGAAAAGAGATTATAGAAGATGAGAATCCTGATGTCGTTGTAGAAAGTGATGATGAGAACATGGCCGCAAATTTGAACACATTGGACAAAATTAGAAGGAGATGTTGTGACTAAGCTTGAGGTCGGTATGATGTTTAATAGTGAAGAAGAAATCTTGGACTTCTATAAACGATATACTTACGGGATAGGTTTTCTAGTGAGGAAACAAAATTCGAAAAAGGGGGAAGATGGAGTTATGAGATACGTGACGTTTACATGTAGTCATGATGGTCAAAGAATTTACGCAACAGGAGGTTCTCTAAAGCCGCAACCAACAAATCAGACAAGAATATCTACATCATTAGATAGTCTTGGAATTTGGAGAATTAACAAAGTGTTCCTCTAGCATAATCATAGGACAAGTCCTTCTAAGTCAAGATTGTATCGATGCAATCAAAAGTTGACTGCAGGTGCGAAGTGAAATCTCAAGTTAAATGATATGGCAGGAATGCCCTTGCACAAGAGTTTTAACTCAGCAGTTGTGGCAGCAGGTGGATATGAGAACATAACGTTCATGGAAAAGGACTGTTGGAACTACATAGATCAGGTGAGATGACTACGACTCGGTGAAGGAAATGTGATCGCAATCAAGGGTACTTTTCAAAGATGCAAGCACGTTGCTCAGGATTTTATTTCAGAATGGACTTACACGATGAGTCACGACTAAGGAATGTACTTTGGGCAGATAATAGATATAATCAGTCTCACAAAGAGTTCAGTGACGTGGTCACTTTTGATACTATGTATCTTACTAATAAATATGATATGCCCTTCATCCCTTTTGTTGGCGTAAATCATCACGGACAATTGACTCTGCTTGGTTGTGGACTATTATCGAATGAAGACACATGTAGTTTTATGTGGTTGTTCAAGATATGGCTAGAGTGCATGCATGGTGAAGCCCCTAGTGGAATAATTACTGATCAAGATCGAGCAATCAAAATGCAATTGAGTTTGTATTTCCAAATACGAGGCATAGATGGTGTTTGTGGCATATTTTGAAGAAGCTGCCAGAAAAGTTTGGGTTTCATGCACATAAGGGCGCCATATTTTCTGCTATACACGAGCTAGTATATGAATCACAGTTCGTTGAAGAATTTGAGCACGATTGGAGGATGATGCTCGATATTTATGACTTGAAATAGAATGATTGGTTGTCGGGCCTGTACGGTAACAGAAGTCGTTGGGCTCCTTGTTTTTTGAAGACCACTTTTTGGGTAAGGATGTCCACAACACAACGAAGTGAGAGTATGAATGCATTTTTTTTTATAGATATGTGCATTCGAAAACTTCGTTGAAGCAGTTCGTTGAACAGTATGAAAGAGCACTGAGGAATAAGGTTTAGAAAGAGTTTCAGGCTGATTTCAAGTCATTTTCTCAAATGGTACATGTGCAACTACTTTTGAAATAGAGAAACAGTTTCAATCAGTTTACACAATTTCGAAGTTCAAGGAAGTACAAAATGAGTTCACTGGGAAGGTATACTATGATCTAATTTTTGAGGAGGAATGTTTTTGGATGAATTATGAGGTTCATGAGCATCAGAAGAACATAACATTTTGCATCTCATTTCGGAGAGATCCTTGCGAATTCACTTGTAGTTGCCACTTATTCGAGTTTTGAGGAATCATTTGTCGGCATGCGATCACAGTTTTGGTCCGCAATCGCATCACTGCAATGCCTGATAGGTATATACTACGAAGATGATGGAGAGATGTCAAAAGAGCAAACACAATGGTCAAAGTCAATTATGCTGGGTTAGGAAGTACTCCGGGACAGGTACGATATGACAATATGTGCGAGGCTTTCTCAGAGGTAGCATACCTCACTGTAGATGATGAAGAGTGGTCACGTGCTATGACGAAATGGATAAAACTGCAACCAGAACACATGCAGACGTCAAAGTCGAGCAGCGGAAGCAAAGCCATTTCGCAGCATGTTATTCGTTCAGCCAGCCTCTGATTGTAATAAGTCACAAAATTCTGCAAGCATGAGCATATTGGATCCTAATCATCCAAAAGAAAGGGCGCACCGAGGAAACTTCGACGGAGAGGCTGCTTGGAGTCCACCTAATACAAATCGAAGGTATTGTGGTCCATTTCCCTTCTAATTGATTATGCATTTGAGTTAAAATTCTAATTCGAGGTGATAAAACATGCAGTCCACATCAACAAAGAGGCCTAGTATTATGGAGGAGAATGTAAGTGATTCATATTCATCTCGAGTACCGCAACGTTCTATGCCGCCGGAAATATCATATTCGGAACTCCTATTGGTGAGTATTGGTAGGTCTGATTAACATGAATTTGACTCTTTTTTTTTTTTTTTTTTTTG